GGGAATTTGTAAGTAATAGATTGTGAATAGCCCGAGAATAGCAACTTGTATGATAGTAGCGAATAGGTCAAATAAATGCTTATGATAAAAGGGTTGTAAATATATACACATAATCTAGTTACTTAACAGTTATGCAACAAGAATATATATGATAACAGTCTATAAATAGTTCTCAGAATCTGATATACGCTAGGATATAACATCAAGGTTTTGAATTTGATGACTAATAGGCTCTTGGGAATTTCAATGTTCCATTTTTTTTAAATTATCAGTTGAATAATCTTCCACAAAACTAATATATCAGTATAGGGTTTTGGAGATTATTAAGTCATTGATTGAGATCATGAACCGATCGATGTTAGACCACCAATGAAAACATGGAAGTACTGGACAGCCGTTTCGTCCTACTAGGTACATTAGAATTTATGCATACAAACAAAATCTCCACAATCCCATACTGATAATTACCATATACTCACTACTGACTAGCTTTGTGAGGGATTTCTCAGTTTTAATGAAAGGCCGTGACAAGTTGAACTAATCCGTATCGGGTAGAGATAGGTATCTGCCTCAGTACAATGAAAGATGGTCACGCGATTCCGTGGACCGGTCGAGGTTACAAATTAATACCGTTGTATGCCGTCTCAGTGATCTAGTGGATTAGGCGTTCGCGCGTGAGATTGAAAGCCTTAGATTTGAATTTCGCTAGCGGAATCGTGGATGTGCAAACCCAAGGTGTCCCACAATAGGACGAAATGGCTGTCTAGTGCTTCCAAGTTTTTCAATGGTGGTCTAACATCAATCGGTCCATGATCTCAATCACAAACTAATATACACTGAAACTAATTCAGTTTGAATAGTGTAAGCACATACATATACACACTTGATTGATTACTTCAATATCATATTACTAATGTATTTGAATAAAATCAAATAAATTACTATTGTGAATGTAATTGTTCCATAATCTTCATCTTTATTAAAATGTATGTTTGCATATCAAATGTGAAGCATATTCCACTGATTAACTTGTTGTTTATCAGATTACTCGTTTTTGTTATTATTTTAGTAACTATGGTAAAGTATAAAAGTAAAATTGAAATTATTTTAAACAAAAGTTATATGTGATTTTATGTATTTCAGTAGAATGTTTTTATCAGATGACTTTAACATTGAACGAAATGAATAATGTAACAGATAGACAGATAACCCTAATGGGTTGGTGTATGATGAAATGTCTGCACGGATTCAGAAAGCTCGCTAGGCTTTTGCCAACTTACGTCACTTATGATGAAGGCTAGCTATTCGTCTATCAATTAGGGGACGAGTATACTATGCAGCAGTTTGTTCTGTTCTACTATAAGGCTGGAAAACGTGGTCATTAAGAGTAGAAGATACTCGTAAACAACTAGTATTTGACCACAGATGTTTTAGAAATATTGCTGGCATCTGCTGGGATCATCGGGTGAGTAATGGTGAGGTTAGATGTAGAGTATTGGGGAATGATGGTAAATCAGTTGATGAGGTTGTGAATCTTCATTGACTGAGATGGTTAGGTCACTTGTTACGTATGCCTGAACACCGATTACCACGAAGTGCAATCCTAATCGGTGTTGGAGATGGTTGGAAGAAAGTTTGGGGCGGTTAAACCAAAACGTTGCATCAGTGCTTGAAATCACTAACTTCTAGTCTGAGTCATGTTGGCAGATGCAGACTACTTGGTTGGGGTCCGCGTGACAATCGTAACCAATGGTTGGACACGCTGAGTGATGACTCAGAATCGATTACAATGGCGTCGGTGTATACACTCTCTGTCTTCCCTTAAGCCGTGAGATTAAAATTACTTTATACTTTTCTTTCTAATTCTTTCTTCCTGTATTATATCCTCATATACAACCTTTCTTTTAAATATGAATATCATTAAAGTAACTACTTCTATTAATTTGGTGTTCATCTTATTATGTTAATCAGGTATGGCAACTTGAACCGATGCATATATGTATGCCTTGTCCTACATTGTAACTAACTGATTAAGATCTTAATCTATCGAAAAGTAAAGGACCAATAATGTTTATTTTTTTGTTCATATTTCATGTATAAGTATATTATTTTCTGAAATTAAAACTTATTCTTTTGACTGGTAACCATATTGTACGATTGACTGCAGCCTATCGTAGAAGTGATATTTAGCGTCTTCATTGTAGTCGTTGGTAGGCGCATAGCATTGGATGATGTTCATTGAAATGCCCTTTTTCTTTGTTTTGAAGGAGGCTTTGATGGTCATTGGTCCATGAGATTCCCATCCTATAAGCCCACTTTGTGCTTGTTTGGACAGCATCAATGCAACTCCTTGTGTATGTGGGGCATTTTCTTCTTCATGAACGGAGTATAACAGAAGCTCTCCTGATGCTAGTCACTGTTGTCCAACTTGCGTCCAATGTGTTTCACTGATCCCAAACACCTCCAGGTTGTATCTCCTCATTTCTGCAGCAATTTGGAAGGCTCTCCCAGTCTCCCACATTGTACGGGCATTCCATGTACCTAAATAAATGGTTGCTCTGGTTGTCAGAAGGGGCATTGGCCTCGTGACTTCCGAAGGAGCTCGGCTTTCGTCATGAAGCGTCATAACTCTTCTAAATGAAGGCCTTCTGACTCCCTGGGCACAGTTGAAATGGTTTGAATAATTTTTTCTGGTTAGCATTTTTTAGCAGGTTAGTTTTCTACGGGATGGGGTCGCTAACCCATGCCCAACCCTCCTCCTTTATCCGGGTTTCGGACCGTCAGTAACCTCCGGAGGGACTCCAGGCGGAGTTATATTGTACAAATGGATACACAATCACTTCATATCATTTCAAAGTGGCATTTATCAATCAATATTGTTTTCCTTTTCATTTTCATTAATGAAAATTCATTTATAAACTTATATCATCCTTATTGCATAGAAGACTTCGAATGTTTCTGTCATTAAACATCATTTCTGTTGAAGCATATTGTGAATAAAGATCAATTGGTGATTGATTGTCCATGAACAAGATTTTTGTAAAATACTTTTTTGACACATCTTCTATTAATTGTCTTTTTACGTACTTTATCTTTCCCTTATTTCTATTCTCCTTTATTCAATCTTTTTTTTTCAACCATTTTTTTTGTTGCTGCCGAGTATTCTACTTTAAATTGATGTTACATACTACTTATGTCTGTCAATATTAGTAGTATACAACACAGATGGAATATAACATTCCTTTTTTTCTTCTTTTTCTTCTTATTCAATCAAATTTTCAATGTTTCTTTTCATGTTTCTACAATTGGAACTTATTTAGAGTATAGTCATGAATAATAATAATAATAATGATATAGAAGAGGGAGGTTTTTGTTTTGTTTCACTATGTGAACTGACTACATTAAGATAACACTTAAGGTATGATCATTTGTGACTTGACATTATGAAACATAAAATAGAATAAATTAAATGAAAAAAATAAAACTAATCGATATTTGCAAGTCATCTGATTACTTCAACGTATTCATCAATGGAACAATGATGGTCTATTCATTCATCTTTTAACCAATAAGGTATTATAGGCTTGAATTACACTATCAATATATATATATATATGATAGTTTAGGATTAATGAAGTAGATTATTCACAGGGTTTTTATATCTTACACTTAATGTAGGATTTAATCATTAGTTGTGCTAAAAACAAATGATCGTTGTAAACCTACCAATTTATTACTATTACTTTTTTATTTGGACACATCCATACTGGTACAAGAGGGCACCAGATACATATGCGACACACAAACTCCATTTGATTCATGTGAGAGCTATGATAATGCCCGGGTGCCCAAACCGAAGCAGGTGGTTTTCTTAAGGGGCCACACCCGGAGCCTTCGACCTAAAGGTGGAGCATCGTAAGGAGATGAAGTCCCATGATAGCCGATGACCAACGATTGGTTCATAGGCCATTTGTTCCCTCAGGGTACTGGAGTCCATGTGCACCATTGGTTTGGAATCAGGGTTTTCCCACTCCCCTAAGTGGACTCTCCATGACCACTAACCCGGTTAAAGCTTCAGGCATTCGCTTTTCGTCCTCTCAATTTCGTAAACAACAGCCCCCTCACGAGAAAGCAGTGAGTAGGACTTCCATGGCAGAGGCTCTATACGCATGGCCATGTGAGAGCATTTCGAGAGGGTGAACGGACTCTCCCCACTCTCGGACGTACCAGGGCATTTGGGGGCAGCACACCAATGTTGTAATATATGTGTAGTCTTCGATGATTATCATTAAAATGAATGCTTTAAATATTGTCTACTCATAAGTTTACTTTTGTTTGATTATTTTTTTGAGAAAACTGAGACAAAGCGACCTGGTATTGTTTGCTTGTATCTTTCTGTTAATGGTTAGGATGAAAATCGATTAGTCACATTGTCGGCATATGTGCATCCTATACGAACTGCCTTGATATTGTCTTCATTTACAAGTATTATAAGCAAAGATGAATAGTGATTAGTAGTGGAATACAAGACGTGCGTTTTGTCCTATTTCAGACTCATCGGTTGGATGTACCTACATCTCATAATAAATGTTCACTTTGGGACTCGAGCCCAGTACTGATCGCTTCAAACAACCATCGCGCTATCCACTTAGTTACAGAGTGCTGATAGCCACTTGCTTATACAATATGATAAAGGTTAAATTCACTTGGTATTGTTCTATTTGAATCTTCCCACCGACGATTAAGACTGTAATTGATCAATCTTTTATTGACATATGTGTATCCTGTGCATATTGCCTTGATATTGCTGATGAGTCCGAATTAGTACGAAACGTGAGTCTTAAATTCCACTCTTACCCATTATCCATCTTTACTTCATAGAATGTTTTCTTCATTCATTCATTCAAATGGCATACTTATATAAAAGTAATAGTATTCCTTGTAATCACCATCTACTATCATCTTCATAGATTGTTATTTGATTATTTTTTTAATTTTAGAAAAGATTAACCACTATTGAATCTCAATTAGCCTTATTGAATTCTTTACCAAATAATCAAGATATTATTGGTTACATTGATAATGATATACATAATAAAAAGAATAATAATTCATTAGATAATTCAAATGATAATTATAGAAAAGTTACTAATCTATGGCAAACTGTACAAACTAATAAACGTTTAGATGCTACAGAAGAAGGTCTTCATAGAGTAAGTTCATCATCATAATAATGATTTATATATGTTGTACTTTATCATTTCTATCATGAATAAGGATCATACAAGATCATGGATCAATTGAAGTTAGATATTTACAGTGTTGAATGCTGGCTAACTCAATGATCTGAATGTTAAAAGTTCGTTCACGAGATCAATAGTCTCGGGGTTTGAGTCATGCATACAGGATCGTGGATATGTACTGTCGAGGAGTCTTATAGTAGAACGAAACAACCATTTAGTGCTTCCAGATTTTCAATAGTGATCTAGCTTAGATCGACCTATGAATTGAAGTATTACTTACTGTAATGTTGATCAAGTACAAATCATATAAAACGTATTGTATTCACTTATTTACTTAAACTTATTTTGACTAATAAACAAATTCTCATCTACCATCGTTGTGTTCCTAATTGCATTGGCTGAATTGCAGCTTTCATGTTGAAATACAAAGATGTATACCGTGTGACTACAGTAATAGTGTGTGTCAGAGTGTTATTAAATCTTCATTGGTATTAGTCTTTCGTGTTTTTACTTTGCATTGGAGAAAGGTTAGTGATTCCTGATCCCAGGTATTCAACAACAGGATCGGATACATAACAATGACGTTTTCATATCAGCGATATCGGTCATTAATGGAATTTTAATGTCGTTTAGTTGAATGTATTCGATAGGAAATCCTGTTTCACTTGGATTTCATGCTAGTTGACATTCATCATCGAATTTCACCTGAAATCTTGAAGGAATTTATTATTACAGTGGGATTCGAACTTACGTCATTAAAATTTACAGCGTGACGTATTACCATTGAACTATGTGCTTTTGTATTAATCTTTTGCGCAACTAAGCTATTTACAACTGACTGATCGCCAAGTGATCATATTACAGTGTGATCGATAGAATTCGATCACTAATTACTAAGTGGACAAGACAAAAATAGTATTGGAATTTTAATAATATCCGCTGCTTATTGATGTATTTGATCAAGTCAGGATCTCTCACGCACATAGCGGCAAGCACAACCTCTGATGGCATTGGAGAGACAATACTACCCAAAAGTCCCATACTCGGACAAAAATTCTGTCCAGTAGTTTCCTGGTTTTTATGAATACTTGACTAAATTTACTTCGTGATGTAAAACTATAAGACTTCAGTAATGGATTTTCAGAAATCTTAATTTTGCAGAAGTTTACAATTCAGACCAGCATCAACTGGAATACGGACTTAATGAAACAGTACAAGTAATATTCGTTGGGATAATATATACGCAAAATGATAACGGCGCAGTTTCGCCCGTAGGTTCATCACATTACAGTAAAAACAGAAAACTTCAAAAGAATTCCATCAGAAATCTGAAATAAAAGTTTTCGAATTTCTATAGGGAAGATTACATTACTCTCTTATGCTTAATTATATAAACAAACAAGATGTGTATGTATGTATGTATGTATGTATGAGAACCTTATCCTTTTGTTGATATCCATTTTTATTCCTATATTTAATGTTTTTTATAGTTAAGCTCCTTGACAGATGACCTACTTGAACAAATCAAGAAATTTTCAGAACAAAATAGAGCATTGAAATCTGCACTTGACGAAGTAAGTAAAACAAGTTGTTTGCATTTATTTTCCTCCATATATATCCCTTAAAAAGATTTAGGCAAATGAAAAATGACTTTGGGCTTTCTTTGGTTGATTAAAAGCTTACCAATACAATTAATTCATGTTATTCAGCAAACCATTTCCATCTCATTTCATTTAAGTGTCTAAGTACAATTTGAACCAACAAAATGATGCTAAACTATTTTAACTACTCATAAGTAGGTAACTTTGTTATTCAACAAAAAAAGCGACAGTGATTAATAATTCATAAATGTTCTAAAATGAGCAATTTCCTATTCAATTGAAAGTTTCTTTGATTGATTATAGATTTTTAAAGTTTTACGCCAATCATATTTGTTCCTTTTAATGATAGTATGTTGAGTATGTAAAAAATTTGTGTATTCTTCCAAAAAATTTTATATTTTAATTAATATTATGTATGATTGATGGTTTTACTTTAGGTAGGGGTTATGTGAATTCATAGTTGATAAGTGAAACGATAATGGAATACACGGATCAGGGTTTTTTTTCATTTAATTAAAGAAATTAATTAGTTTTAAACAAAAAAATTGTTTTACTAAATCAATAATTTCATTGTCCTCAATCAGCTCATACTGATTCTGGAGAGTTCTTTATTCGAATTAGTGAAGATTAAAAGAATGATTCCTATAAGATGAATAAATAAAAGTGCGATACTAAATTAGATTATCAGTTAAGATCTAGACTTTTAAACAAAACAGGTCAATCATTGGGTTTCAAAATGTTCATCAATCTTTCTATCCAATCATCTATCTATCTATCTATCTATCTATCTATCTATCTATCTATCTATCTATCTATCTATCTATCTATCTATCTATCTATCCACACATCTATCTACCTATCCACACATCTATCTATCTATCTATCTATCTATCTATCTATCTATCTATCTATCTATCTATCTATCTATCTATCTATCTATCTATCTATCTATCTATCTATCTATCTATCTATCTATCTATCTATCTATCTATCTATCTATCTATCTATCTATCTATCTATCTATCTATCTATCTATCTATCTATCTATCTATCTATCTATCTATCTATCTATCTATCTATCTATCTATCTATCTATCTATCTATCTATCTATCTATCTATCTATCTATCTATCTATCTATCTATCTATCCACACATCTATCTATCTATCTATCTATCTATCTATCTATCTATCTATCTATCTATCTATCTATCTATCTATCTATCTATCTATCTATCTATCTATCTATCTATCTATCTATCTATCTATCTATCTATCTATCTATCTATCTATCTATCTATCCACACATCTATCTATCTATCTATCTATCTATCTATCTATCTATCTATCTATCTGTCATAAAGACAATAGCCAATTTCAAGTTATCTGAATTTAGAAATTTTCAATCACTGTCTTCGATTTCCGAGATGATTATATGATCAAAAGCAACGAATGTGAGTACTATGTAGGTTAATACATGTTTATCAATTGACATTCTTAAGAGAATATGAAATAGATAACCGACCTTTACCTAATCAATATTGACTGAAACCAGTTTTCGAAATGAATAAATCTTCCTAAATGATAAAAGTGTTTCATAGAATGTTTAGATAGTGTTTTTCGTCTATACAAAATGATAAACGAGTTATTCATATTAGGAAATTCTGAAAATACTCTTTTGATAGTTTTTCATCTCTCCTCCTCTCAGCGTGACTGGACTGGTATCAACTGAATACTGAATAAATGTACTAATTACTTTATGCTCAAATGATAAAATGCTACTGGCATTACCTTCATGAAAGAATCTAATGCCTATATCTCGTATAGATACATAGTCAATTTGTCACAGTTCTGGATAGGACTTATACCCATGAGATGCATTTTCTGATCAACTTTTGGGAAAAAAGTGACATTCCAGATAACCGTTGATTTCATGACTCGTCTTAGTGGCACCACCAAGTCTGAGGATATGTGCAGTTAGCGTCTAAAAATCACCTAAGAAGTAGAGATAATAATGAAGGTTAGACTGACCTGGAAGTTTCTATTGTTCAAATTAATGACATCGCAAATCCAAAACACCTAGGATGATTATTTTCTTTTTTCAGTTTTCATGAAAAAACTGATGACAATTTAAGTTGCAGCTCCTGACATCAATATAGGACAAATCGTATTCATCTGCTCGATTATCGAACGATGAAAACTAGGATCTTTATCATAAGTGAAACTCAGCAACTCATGATTATGACTCAATGACCATCTTGATACTGTATAAAAACCTTCTGTCACCAGAACAAATACTTAGGACTGACAACCACTACGGACAAATTGTCTAAATCGATGGATAGGGAATTTAATTCAAAACAAACCTATGTGTCGTTTGGGAAGTTGTTGATCAGTGAGGATCACTTTTCCTTTTGTATACATGTTTTTTTAGGACTCACTTAGATTGTCTCGTACTATGACATAGCAGAAAGTCACATTCCCACAAGCTCTCAGTTATTTCAAGAATCTTGTTTCCGTCGAAAATCCTATACCGACACATATCTTTTTGAATACCATATGAATTTCGCTATTTGAAATGTATATAACTGATAGCAACTCTGACTGGAACTAGATATTGTCGAACCGCATTCATACAGCTTATATAAGTTCGGTAATCAGTATTTCATCGGCCAGTTACAATGACTGATTTATTGATGAGAAAAGGATACATATGAATAATGTGTGATAGAGGTTTTATTAAAATGAATCTTCCGTTTTAAAACATGTTACTCTATGCTCAGCATTTTTCTGGTTAGCATATTTTTAGTGGGTTAGTTTTCTACGGTAAGTGGTCACTAACCCCATGTCCAACCCTCCTCTTCCTTTATTCGGGCTTAAAACCGGTAGTAACTCTAGAAGAGCTACAGGCGGTGTTCTATGCTCAGAAGTTGTACACATATTTAAAGATTTTAAGAATATCTAACAAGAATGTCATCAGTCTTTGATGTTACCTATTTGAAAGAAAATGTTTACTAAATAATAGACACATTGAACACTGATGAGGAGTCCTACAATGGGACGAAACGGCCGTACAGTACTTCCAGGTCTAGCTTCAATTGATTCATGATTTCAACTATTAAAATAAACTTTATATTCAATCTATTTATAAATCATTGATTTTAAAGTACATTTTACATAATGTTTGTTTGTTTGCTTGTTTATTATCTTCATTTGACTGGAATAAAAGACACAATTGTACTTTTCTAATCTTATATATGCACTAATTATATGAAGTACCATTTACACTTTAGGGTTGTAAGTGAGAGGGGTGATTATATCGTTTCTTATGTCAGCACATAAGAATAAGGATTTATTTGTATAGTTTATTAAGTAAATCAAATAGAAACAACAATAATCATGGAATCATTATTGGTTCAATAGGTGAAACTATAATTTATAGACGACTTTTAAGTGACACTAAAGTGACATTGAGAGTATCCACCTAATAACTAGGACTAAATGAGGTTTATAAACCAGTGTAAGGAATTAGAATTCTGATTTACGGTTGATGATTAAAGTTAGAAATTACATATAGGGTTTTCATCACGAATTAACATCAGCTATAATACCAAAACTCTATTTAGCCAAATGAATAAATGAATTTCACGCCAAAATCTAAGACCTGTCATCGTAAATCTGATTGGTTCGTCTATAAATTATAGTTTGCCATTCAATCAAATCAGAGGTGATATTCGATAATAACACTGAAATCAGTAATGTGAACTATTCAGTTTGAATCCATTTAACCACCACCAACAACAACAAAAAGAAACATTGGACATTATGATTAACATACAGTTTGTGTTATACACTGATATCATTTGAAGAACTTTTGTATATCCAGAACGCATGCTTAATACACTTTAGAAATATGTACATTCATGATCTATAGAGAAGTAAAATAGTTACAATCAATATGGAACCTGCTATAAATGTGTGTCAAATATTATCATATCTCTTTTTGATTATGTAATATTTTCAGTCAAGCATGTTCGGGATGCGATTCTCCCCTTCGAAATGCAAAATGTTACTTCAGAATTGAGTAGCATCGACACCTGAATTAATGATAAGAAGTGAATTAGTTGAGCATGTTGACTGCTTCACTTATCTTGGAAGTCTTATCAACCCTTATGGTCTGGTGTGTGACGAAATCTCAGCACGGATACAGAAGGCTCGACTAGCTTTTGCTAACTGGCGTAGGTGAGATATCCGTCTATCAACCAAAGGACGTGTTTACTGAGCAGCAGTTTGTTCCGTCCTACTTTATGGCAGTGAAACATGGCCGGTAAGAGTAGAGGATATTCGTAGATAACTAGTATTTGATCACAGATGTCTTCGAAACATTGCTCGTATATTCTGGGACCATCGAGTAAGTAACACAGTTGTTAAGAAACGGGTACTAGGTAATGATGGCAAATCAATTGATGAAGTGGTGAAACTTCATCAGTTGAGATGGCTGGGACATATGTTACGTATGCCCAACGACCAACTGCCTCGACGTGCTATGTTCAGCGGTACAGAAGTAGGTTGGAAGAAAGCTAGGGGCGGCCAGACTAAAACATGGCACAAATCCATGAAGTCACTGACAGGTGGTTGGTAGGTGTAGACTACCTGGTTGGGTACCGCGAGATGATAGCAACCAATGGCTAGAGACCCTGAATGACATGGCTCAAAATCTTTTGCAATGGCGCAAGTGCATCAACTCCTTGCGTTCTCCCTAATTCTAATCTTCTGAATTCTTCATGTCCCTTTCTTTCTCTTTCCAAATTTCACTGTATTATACTCCTTGAATGACATCTTCAAACCCTAATGTTTACGATTAGTGCTTATAGTTTTACTACCTCTAGCATAACAGGATTTGAATCGAAAACTGCATCTCTGTGCTAATGTGGTATGGCAACTCGAACTGATGTACGTATGTACGAAGTTCTT